CGAAAAAAATGTCCCAAGTCAACCTATTTAAACGTAGTGACATGTAAAGGAATATGAAAAAGCTAAAACGTTGAATTTAAATTGTAATGTCATCGCAGTACTGTCTAATTTTGCTTGCTTCGCTGTCAGTCGAACAAACGAAGACTAAAGCGTGAATGACGCTCTGTATACGATTTTAACGCCCTGTAAGTAAGTTCGGACACTTTTTAGCGCGGACCCGACGTCCATATAATTGTAAGTCAATGTTGTACCTACATTAAAATATATTAACTACAATTGCAGTAGAGCTCTTGTGAAAGAGCTCGTCCAGGGAAGAACTGGCCCAACACCTATTTCTGCCGCCAAGCTGTAATGTGAGCATTTCTGTGTTTTGATGACAAGTGTGCTGGTGGAACTAAAGGTCAGATTTAGGTCTCAGAGTGACGGGTGTAGTGGCAGTGTCCTTCCGATCTTTCCGATTTAAAACCCTGAATGGCACTGCAACTGTTATGGGCAGGCGTTTCGCTTCCCACCAGTCACTTGAAAACGTAAAAAAATGCAAACTGTATTAGAAATGAAACTATTTTTTCGGATCTACTGACTAACCATGGGACCTCTAAAGTGCCCAAAACGTTGGTTTAGATCGCTAAATATTCGCGTTTTAGATCCGAAAATCGTTTAGTTTCCCATAATCACGAAAACCTAAGAACTCGATATACAGAACGATGTATGTCGAATAATTCTACAATCCATTTGACTTTAATGCGAACAAGTAACTACTTATACGTGATATAACAATATAGGTATGCAGAACTAAAATTTGTAACTTCTCTCAATAAGTAAGAATGTTATTTATTAATGTATAGCAATAAAACAATTGCATAAACATACTCCAACCGTTGCAATTTGGATGCGTAGTAGGTATTTATTGGATACGACCTTGATTGATCGGCTTAAACGGAGATGTCAAAAGAACGAATTGCAATTGGTTGAGAGATAATAGCTCTTCTTCACTCGTCTTTTGTGGACATGTACGTTAAATTTAACACGAATAACGTAACTTAACATTTTAGGTGAAAATATTAATCTAGTTTATGAACTCCATGTCATTAAATCAACCAATCAGGTAGAAAATAATACCTGATTGGTGTTATTGACTACCTGATTGGTAATTCCTTGCCGATGACATTTTTTTTCGTCAAATTTTAAAAAAGAACTTCAAAACGTTAATTAATTCGTCCGCTATAACAGTTATAGACGTAACTAAAGATTTTGACGTAAACAAAAGTATTTACATGATATAAAAATTTCATGGTTTAATATTTCTATGTTGTAGTGTGTTACAACCACAAAGGCTGTGTGAATGATTTAGCTATAAAAAAAATAAAAGGGTAAATTTTCAGGTCGGTGGCAATTTTTAATAATAAATATTCGAATACATTATCGTGAAATTTTAAATAATATGTAATATTTTAATTCAAAAATTACCACCGAAATTAGGTAGAGAAAACTAACCTGAAAATTACTCATCACGTTCCCATACCTCTTAACACAAAAAATGCTAATGTATAATGCAGCCAATTTGTTGCGTGTGGAGTATAATTAATTTATAATTTATTGTAATTTTTATGTAACCATAATTGATTAAAACTGCGTGTCTCTTGCGTTGTATAAATAATGTTAGTGAAGTAAGAAATTCGCATGTTTTAGTTTAGACGATCGCATTTTTTGAACAAAACGTGTGTTGTTACATTAAAACAATGTTGTTTTATTTTTTTTTATATCCTCACACAAAAATAACGGACACAGAAAGCACCCTGTATAACACGATATTTTTGTATGAAAGACCTAAGAAGATATTTCTGTAGCAGACCTCCTTGTGAAAAAGTTCGTCCAGGGAATTACTGTCCTGGTACTGACACACTTTTTAGCGCGGACCCGACGTCCATATAATTGTAAGTCAATGTTGTACCTACATTAAAATATATTAACTACAATTGCAGTAGAGCTCTTGTAAAAGAGCTCGTCCAGGGAAGAACTGACTTTACCTATTTCTGCCACCAATCAGAGATGTGAGCATTACTGCGTTCCGGTTTGGAAGGGTAAGGGTGCTGGTGAAATTACAGGCACATGGGACTTGCCAATTTATGTCTCAGGGTGACGGGCGCAGTGGCAGTGCCTCTAAGTTCTTTGAGATTTAAATCTCGTGAGTTGCACTGCAACTGTTATGGACAGGCATGTCACTTACCACCAGGTGCACGTCTTGTTGGTCTCATGTTGGTGTTATAAAAAAAAGACTCGACGGACTATAATTGTGCCCTTCAGTTCTATTATAAGTCAAGTAATAAACATACATACATAAGCTCGCACCCTAGTCCCACAGGAGGGATAGGCAGAGACCACGGAACGCAACTTTATCCTGACACAACCTCGAGCCAACACCAACTACCCTTTTCATACAACTTCAAATACTAAAATACACATTTACGTTAGTTACGCCGTTTATATGCAGTAATATAACTTTTATAGCGTGCCAACCCCGTACCCGATATCGCGACGACCACCCATCCTCTCGAGTAACTATATTAGTCTTTCCTAATGTAGATGGCGCTTCTCGCCATCGACCCTGTTTTGCCAAAAATATCACTTTTTCATAAACCAAATATGGTAATAACGAAACGACTTCCGGTAACTTCCGTCTTATGCGAGATTACAGACCCGCACCCCCTAGCGCCCCAGTTAGCATCCAAGAGTCCGCGTTTAACACTGGTTAGAGTTAAAAGTAGTTTACATGCCCGTCTTTTCTGCTGTAAACCTGTATTAGTTCCTGTTAAAAGTTTTTACTTACATCGTAGTATCTGTGTAATATGTCTGTGCCTCATTTTTATGTAGTATAATAAATCGCACTAGGTACTATTACAATAGTGTTGTAACTCAAAATTTGAAATTCAAGATTATATCATTACTGAAGGTGAAATTTGATTCCCAACACGGCCATGAAACTGTCCTTAGAAAATTATAAGAAACAACCGAAAGATATCTACTTAACTCAAAATGGGGTAAACCTTATCTGAGCTAGTTCTGGCCTTACTCAAAAATATAATATGATTTATTCCCTTTTATTTAATTTAAATATATTTGACAAGTAGATAGATCGATAGATAGATAAACACTTTATTCACTGATATAACACAAATAAATACATAACACAAACAAAACATGATTGTCATAGCAGTGAAACGGCGCTGACTCGGCATATGCCAAAGTTTCCTAAGGCACTGGTTTTCAGTCAGAACCAACGAGAATTAAGTGATTTGAAAGCAAAAATATGACGACTATGCGTAAAGTTATACATTGACACTAATAATATACATAGTAAAGTGTAAATAGTGCATCCAAAATAACCTGTATGATATGTAAGTGCATGAGCGAATGTGAATATAATTACAGCTGTAGGAGTAAGTTGTGACTGTAAAGAGGTTTTAATGTTGTGTAATGTATTTAGTATATAATATAATTATACACATAATGTGAATAGATCAAAGCAACAACAAAATTCGATTCTAGACAGACTACATTAAAGAATAAAAACACACTACACATATTTCTGAAGTGAGAGAGAGAGAGTTTGTCGGTACAGTACAAATACAAATACAAATACAAAAATCATTTATTTCTCTACAAAGTTACAAAGTTTATGTCTATTAACTATAAGGCACTTAAAGAAAAAACACATTTGTGGGAGACTGGAGCCTAAACTAGGTCAAACCTGTATAATAGGTCTCCAGGGACCTACCCCGGGTGTCGAGTAACACATCAAGTACATAACGGAGAGGCATAAGAATGAAATTTAAATATTATATTTAACAAAATTTGTGTGTGTGGGTATGTTTGTTCGAGAGTGTGTGTCTGGTTGTGTGTGTGTGTGTGAGTTTGAGTGTGGGTGGGTGTGGTGTGTGTACGTGGGGATGAGGTGTGTGTGTGTGTGTGTGTGTGTGTGTGTGTGTGTGTGTGTGTGTGTGAGTGTGCTTTGAATTTGGGTTTGGTGGATCTCTCGTTGCATATTGGTGGTTTTTTTTTTTTTTTTTAATAACGCACACTCTCAACATAGCCCCGCACTAGGAAAACCCTGTGTCGCGGGTGCCATGGACACACATATAGACAACCACAAATTACACCCAAACTCACGAGAGAAATAAATGTAGGCCATACAAACATTTCTCCCAGCCCGGGAATCGAACCTGGGACCTCTGCGTGGCAGTCCGGCATGGTAACCGTTCGGCCACGGAGGCAGTTAAGGTGGTGGAACATTATTCCAGCACTTTGAGGCCGAGTATTTGAAACTACCTACTATAAGTAGGAATTTGTGATAAGCTTAAAACCCATATGTAAATTTTAATGATCTTACAAACGATAGGTTTCTAAAAAATACACTTTTTAAGTTAATGAACTATTGAATCAATGCGAAATGCCCACAGTCCTACACCGACTGACTTATTTATTTAGCCTGGCCATACTTTTTTTTTCTTCTAAGTCAAACGAGAAAGAAGAAAATTTAAGAAATAAAACTATGTTTTTGGATGTAAATCATGTATATTCCCATAGATGACGTAGACTAAGCCGTGACCATGACTCTCGTTCTCTGTCTGAAATTCGTCCGGAACCATTACCATGAAATATGTAATACTCGACCAAACCGAAATACAATGCCAAGTATAAAGCTTCATTCGCATTATGCGTGTTTTAATATGGTCGAGTATTACTCATTTCACAGCAATTATTTCGGACGAACGTCGGACCGAGGGCGGGAGTTGACCCCTTGTAAAAGGCCCGAAACGTTGGTTTGTTTGAAAAACAAATATACGCGACTTTAAATGCCGTTTCCTCTTGCTCCTACTGGATGCTCCTACTGGTAGGAGCACCAGGACTAATTTATGTCCATAAGCTCCTGTCGTGACGTCGTATCTAATAAGTACCTACACTGAACTAAAATGAAAAAAATATCGAAATAAACAATTCAAAAATATCTTTATTATACCTATGAGGTAAGAAGAAAATTACACTTTAAATTGTCACTTTGTTCAAGAAACGTGCACACGTTCAAGAAACTTTAAAAAATAGTTTATTTTTGTATGATATTTATTTTGTATTATTTACCTGTATGATATCTCAGTATTGTTTTCTTTAGTATGATTTGTTTTGTGATTATTGAAAAATATAAATAATGTCAGTGTATTAGATAAGTTAGAATTAACGGGAGTTAAGGTGGGAAATGGGTTGATAATGTCGATGATACCTAAGACAAAAATATACATATCCTGCAATGGTAAACCTGCCCGTGAATTTGCATTTACAGTCCCAAGTTCTAAACCCTAAAATGATTAGGCAACTTGCCTACGTACGAGAGACGAATGTGTGAGTTAGGGAAGGTAGGAAAAGAAACCAAAAAAATGTTATAAAAATTACTAATCTCTATATTAACCAGAAATATTATAATAATAATATAAATCTAAATTCAATATGTTACTTCCATCATTTTTTCTCCATAAGCTCTGTCAAAGACGGACACTTTCGAAGTGACGTAGTAGTTGATCTCAATAACTTCCTTAGACCTCACCTTGTTGTTAAGATTGCCTTTTTCCATGACGCCCCTAACGTCAAGACCCCAGAAATTATGACCCTTGTAAGTCTCATCATAGTTCACAGCTACTACTCCGGATAAATTGGCTTCATATTCAATCTCAAGCGTGATAGTTACCCGAGTCGCTTCAAGAGTAGCCATAGCTGCCTGACCTGCCTGCAGAAGCAAGTTCATTGACGATGTAGCGCCAACTCTGACAGTCCTGGATTTCTTGTAGTTCAGACCGTATTTCGAAGTGTAAGAGAAGGGGGTCTTGCCATTGTGGTTCAAGGGTTTGATTTCGAAACCGTATGAGATGTCTTGACCAATGTTCAACTCCTGGGGATGAGACGACGATGACGAAACTGTCTCCTGAACATCCTGGTAAATGCCCATGTTGAAAAGTTCAGGTTTGGAACCATTGTTCTCAAAAACTTGCTGCATGACAATTTGGGGTTCAGATGTGATCTTTAGGATGCGTGCTGACTTTGGTACGAGGGTTCGGATGACCTGACTCCAATCATAGGTAGAGTATAGATCGCCCCAAGGTGTTGGACTACGAAGGTAAGCAGAATCAGGCATCTTTCCAAAATAGTTCCTGACTGCATTCTTGAGTTCCTCGTCACCGAGTTTGAAAACTTTCCTTTCTTCATTGGAAATTACGTCAGCTTGGCTTCCGGAGTAGTAGACTTTCAAAGAGGGCTGGTCTCCATCGTACTGGCCGGTGATTTCAATGTCGATGCTTGCAATCGCCAATGCTGGCAGGAGCAAAAGAAGAAAGGCAACCATGTTTGATTTTCTGAAACAAAAGAACGATTAAATTTTTGAACATGATGAGGTGATACACTTGTTGTGTAATGGGAACAGCATTCACTTTACAAGAGCAATGGCCTGGATTCAACCTGTATCATGCTCACAAGAGGCAGGCATAATACTGTAGTTGTTCAAGCCAAAAACAACGTGAAGAATCCTGCATCTCACAGAGGGCACGTAAAAGCACCTCGAACCTTCTTCAAACCTTCAAGAATCCTTCACAAATGAACCAGTGTGACACAGTTGGGTTGACTAACATAGAGCTTCAGTTCACAGCAGATTGACTCAATATCGACTTGTTGAAACAGAATAAAGGTTAACTTACATTTAGTAAATATTCTTGACTGTTGTAGTTTCTTACAGTTCTCGTATTGATTCGTAATCTAATTGATTACAGAATGACAAACATGATTTAATGTTAGTTTTTATATGTTTTGATCTATGATTTTAGACAGGGGTTGACAACCGTTGGAATGTTTTTTAAATTATTTCTAATAGAATATTTAATAAGTGACAGTGGATAGACACTTAGCGTCGGCAAGCATGCGCGGCGCGGACTTCATTACCAGAGCAGCCGAGAACAGCATAAGACTCAAATAAGTGCCTTCTGCAGTAAAAACTCAAGATTCCTAGGGTGCATAAACGAAACTCCTCGATAAGAAGATTTCGATATGGGCTATTGAAGCTTCTGGTGACCAGGGGGGTCTACTTCGTTCTCCGTCGAAAACAATTATACTATCAAATAAGTAATTCTCGACCAAATGAAATGTATGAAGCTTCACTCGCACCATGCATCTTTTATTTGGTCGTGTATTACTTATTTCACTGTAATTGTTTCAGATAGAAGTCGAAGGATGAACAGCAGTAGACCCCCAGAAAACTAGCAGCTGCTTCTGTAAAAGAACAAGGTTATCAATCCAAATGATAGTAGTACTTTATTTCGGACCAAAACCAATAATCCATAGTTTGTTAGTAAAGAACTTAGGAATAAGGTTAGGTTAGGTAAGTTTAAGGTTGATGCTATTCAAATGTTAAAATTAAAATAAAATATGATTAAATTAAAATAAATTTATATTCAAAAACTATACAATCACGAATATTTACAACAATAAATATACAATTGAAATTAATCTAACACACATAAAAAAACTTGAACTAATCTATAATATAAAAAATGAAAAGACCTGGATGGGCAGTCAATTGTATTCGCCACAACTTTCAGAATGTTGGGGCACCCCGCACATCAAAAATCTGGCATGGAAGCCATCAGTGCGTCTCAGCGAATATGCCTGAACCGCTACAGTATCGTCAAATGCTCCAGAAGGCAGCCTCTATGAACTATGAACAAGCGTTTAACATATTCATAGCTTATGATTTCCAATATACTTTATGTGCATATTATAATTTGAAATTTACCGTAAGCTTTTTGGTGAAGAAAAACAGACCCTGTTCTCTCGCTCACCCGTCTACGCGTCCGTAGATATTACTGTCAAATATGCAATATCTGACATAATTAAAAGACGCGTGATACAAATGAAACTGCATACTTGACATTGTTTTACTTTGCTCGAGTATTACTTTTTTGACAGTAATTGTAACGGACAGATGTCGGACGGAAAACGGGAACAGACTACCATGTCGGGATGTGATGAAACCTACACGAGTCACTCCGAGCCACCAAAACAATTAATTTATTGCAAACCAAATTTCCCGGTTGCATATCATCTCGATCATGTGATTTAACACCGCTGGATTAATTTTTAAGGGGTTATGTTAAAGACAGAGTCTATATGTAGCCAACCGATGTAGAGTGAGTGAGATGGCCCCCCTGCCCCGTGCACTTAGGTATCTAAATCAGTTGCTTAACTTCGACTCCTCATTGGACCTCTTTGCATGCTCAGAAACAAAATTCATATTTTCCGCAGGACGCTATCTGGAGTCCTTGACCAGAGACAGTAGTATTAAATGTTAGTTTAAAATGTAATTACAAATGGTTTTTATCTTTTTTTGTCATTAATGTTAATCTGTAATAATTTATTGTTTATGGTATTGTATTAATAATTTTATCAATTTTCATATTTTATTCACTTTTGTAATTGACTTAAGATTGATTGTACATTTAGCTTTAAGTCTTACTATTGCGTTTGGATTGACTGTAAGCAATATGTAATAAATAAATAAATAAATAAATAAATAAACCGAATCGCTTGCAGCCTTAAAACTCAAAATTCGTGAAGTGATTAACGAAATAGACCCACCATTTTGTCATAAAGTAATTAAAAACTTTGATGAAAGAATCGACATCCGTAACTGTGGTCGTGGTGAACATTTGTCGACATCATTTTTCATTCATAATTGCCAAACCTTACTTTTTTTAATACAATAAAAATTTGAATCATTGTCATGTGAATTTATTGTTTTATTTTGATTTGCAAAACAAAGTTCTTGTAGAAAAACCCTATGCTTATTATTAAATTACAATGGTCAGATTACACAAAAATTTAACACTAAGTATATAAAGTCTAAAAAAGGTGGTTTTGGTTTACGACGTCTGCAATTAATCATGAGTCTGAATCTTTTCAATAAATCATCAAAATTTAAAATACAATATTGTCGAAACGATAATTTTACGTCCCAATTAAAATTCTTAGTAATTGTTGCATAATTTACAATTTGCTAACTCCTAATTATGCTTTATTTTAATAGTGCAAAAATTGCATGTCCATTTTAAAAGTCAATTTCTTTACAGAAAATTACTCCTTACCATGTTTACATAGCGTTAAATTTTCCATAAACTAATACTTTGCATACTTTGACATAAAACTGTACCTTAAACCTATAATGACGCGGAGTTGTGACCATCAACCAAAATTACCGTCATAGCTTTTTATAAGCTAGAGTATATAAAAGTAAACTGGTCACCATAGGCTTCTTCTGATCGTATAGAAACAATGTGGCTACCCCAGAGCCAAACCTAATAGTATTTTAGACATTTTAAATGATTTAGTAGCAGAAGAGTGCCTTGAGAAAGAGTTCGTCCAGGGCAGTACTGCCACATTGTACTGTGTTCCGGTTTTGAAGGGTAAAGGGGAAGGGGGCTGGTGAAATCACAGGCACATGGAGCTTGTCAAGGACTTGACAAGGAGTTGTGAAGGACTTCTCCAGCATAGCATTTGCCAATTCAAATGCCTAGTAAGATGCTTTAATTAACTTCTTTTTTTTATAATATCAAATGACGGGACGAACAAGTCGTGCGCCTGATGGCAAACTACACGCCTGTCTATAACAGTTGCAGTGTCACTCAGAGCTTTAAATCGCAAAGAAGGACACCGCCACTACGACATAAGTCAACAAGTCACATGTGCCTGTAATTTTACCAGCACCGTTACCCTTCACAATCGGAACTTGACTTTTTTATGATGATGACATGTTACTAAGTTTTAAGATTTACAAATGTTTAGTAAGTAGAATTTTGAAGCGACTGTCATCGTAATTTGGTGAGCAATTTTTTTTATAATATCAAGTGACGGGCCGTGCCACACACACACACACACAAGTCGTGCGCCTGATGGCAAGCGACACGCCTGTCTATAATAATTGCAGCGCCACTCAGAGCTTTAAACCACAAAGAAGTTAGAGGCACTGCCACTGCGCCCGTCACCCTGAGACATAAGTCGACAAGTCCCATGTGCCTGTAATTTCACCAGCACCGTTACCCTTCTAATTTAGAAAGAAATTTCAGGCACATGGGACTGGTCTACTTATGTCTCAGGGTGCGCCCAGATCTTTGCGATTTAAAGCTCTGAGTGGCACTGTAACTTCACGACTTGTTCGTCCCGTCGCTTGATACGAGAAACATTTTTTGAAATTTGTTTAATTATTTTAATTATTCCCGTATAATGAAATGATCTTTACGTAAAGTTGATCCGATTAGCACTAAAAAAAATTTATTCTTTTTTATGGACAACTCACGCCTGGCCAAAAAAAGACTATGCCAAAATTGTTTTCACAATAAAAGACTTAAAAGTTCCTAAGACACTTTCCTTGTATCTTCTATGGTTTCGAACTTGCCTATAATGTCCCATTAAAAAAAAATTTATAATGAAATAAATTTTTCACTTCTCGTGCTCTTAAAGTTCGTATTTATGCTGGATGTAGGCTGTATAAAATAGGATCAATCATTACATTCAATTTTAATTAAATAATCGTTTATTTGTAATATTGCTGTTTAAGTTCCTCGCAATCGAAGTGAAAAGCAGAGTGTATAACTCGTTCATAAAACCCATTTTACCTTCGACTTAAGTCTCGGGTAAAATAACGCGTTTTATGCACTTGTTGTGCAATCTACTATATTTTTATCCTTAGAATAATAACGCATAGAATGATAGTTTCATATCAAACGAACTGTCACAAGTGAGGCTAAAATCAAATTCATGTAGGCTAGTTTTAGTAGTAGGTTAATTTTCGGTTTTAGTGAATATTTATATAAAAATACAAGTTGAAACGCGTTACTTCCTTGTGGAATGTGATATTACTATCTATTTTATGTTTGTCTGACGTATTTTTACACTCATTTACCGCACATTTCGTCATTTTTAGCTAAAATTCTTGATCTGTTCGCGGTGCAAGTTGACCTTGAGCACTGAAGACCCGCCCGCTCGTGTAGGCCCTTTTGGCGCGCTTCAATTTGCCTCACTTAGCGTGTGCGGACTAGGTTCCTATGCGTTATTATTCTAGGTTTTTATCTTATCTTTAAGTAAAATGTAACATTTTAGCAGGACTAGATCTCCTTGAGAAAGCGTTCGTCCAGAGAAGTACTGTTACCTCACCTATTTCTGCCGGTTTAGAAGGGTAAAGGTGCTAGTAAAGGTGCTAGTAGATAATAAATCTGTATTATATATATTACTCTGCACTAAATAAACGAAGAAAACAATAACTGAATGAGTCTCAGACAGAAGTTTTTGTCAACTTCTTTTCATCTTTCGGGAAACGAAAGAAACTCCTCTCTTTATCCCGTTTAGATGATATTAAACAGCCGTACACAGCACAATTCACGACCATCATAAATAGTAACGTACAATGATGTTATATATTAACGTACAAATTTCGTGATGAATAAATGGAAACTATATTCATTTGAACCATCAAAGCCGTCTTGACGCGGAAACGGCTCGCCGACAGCCTTGTTGTCGTTCAGTCAATGTGACCGTCACTGTGCGGGGCGTGGTGCGATATCTAAATCTAGGGAGGGGCGGAGAGTGTCATTCTCTTACTTCTTTGTTCTCTGGTAAAGTTACAGTCTCATGGGACTTGTCCTTGGTGATTAGTTCTTTGCGATTTAAAGCTCTGAGTGGCTTTGGAACTACTGTGGACAGGCGTGCCGCTTACGCATGGTGGCAAAGATTTGTTTGTCCTGTCACTTGGTGTAGTAAAAAAAAAGATATTTCATAACACTAATACGTCTTGTGGAAACCTCAGGCAGTTTTTAGAAATCTTTAAAAAAGGTCCGTATTGCAAATCTATTCCTACTAATTTACAACAAAATTCCTAATAGTATAAAAAATATAACAAAAAACAATTCATTTACTGGTCATTTCTTACGAAAGCATTATTATTCAGTTTTAACAGTGATCTCTTCACCGCAAACTTCATGGTAAATTTCAAATTAAATTTTCCGCGTAAATTCCGTAAAACTCAGAGATGCGACCCTGGATTCGAACGTACAACCCTCTACCGGAGAGAAGGCCTCTCAATCATTAGGCTACCACGGCATTTCACAGCTTTTACGGAAAACATCTTGATGAAACCTGCCCGTACAATCGTGCCAAGCAGTGGGCGTATAAATAACTGAATGATGATGGTGTCTGGATTTCGTGGTAACAATCTCCCTAGCATTTGTTACATTATTATTATTATAATTTCAAAGATGTCGCTTAGCCCCCTTTCCCTTTCAGCTCTCGATACAAATAAATTACTCAAAAGCAACCCATCCCAAAACCAATATGGCTTTTGAACTTTTTAATTTGAGCTTCTTGGTCAAAGGACAAATGTCCAAGTATCTTTTACGAGTAAATGTGCTAATCTTATGCATTTAAATGTATTCAAAAAAGAACTTGATTTTGATTGCCTCTCCCGATTGGAAACTGCGTCTTTTCCGAAACGAGGCACATAATTACGATTTACAACTGGCCGATAGGAAACTTTTAACATTTCTAATCGGAACAATAGTTGATTTAACTCACAAATTAAAAAGATATAGGCATACATATAATCAGGTTCATCTTCTCGCTCAGAAACCAATCTGATTCCGATTTGAACCATTTTCCCTAAGATACCCATATCTAAATTGTGTTTTTTTGTTCTTCACGTCTAAAATACTGTCAGCTCTGGTAAAATCTGTTAGCGGAAACTTGAAAGGAAAGTTATGCAGTAATAATTGTTATGCATTGGATACGGTTTCTTCAGGAAAAGTATCTTAAGTGGAGACAACTCATGAAATCTCTAACGTGCATTTTTAACACACATAAAGGAAGAGAGAGGTATTATAAAAACAAAGGGCAGTTGTTTTTTTTGAGCAAGCAAAAATAACTTTGCTTTCTGGACACATTTTCAATTTGTAGTACAAATTCAAACAAAAACTTAGCCTAAATTAAGTTACACGCCATCTGTGGTACAACTCGTGAACTATTACGTTTCTTGAGTTACCTGTTGAAACCATAGTCAACAGAAAAAGGACGCGTCTACTTTGTTTGTAGCTTTAGTGCGTGATATAAACAGGTCATTAGAAATCGGAATTGAGACGGTAATTTTTTTCCTAATTGTTTGTAAACTTGAATTACCATTCACTTGAATCTAACCTGACGGCAACTGGCGATGTAATTGATAATGTAACATGCTAACTTAGAATGTATTTTGTTTAAACAACTCTGTATCGCAATATTCAATAAGTACCGGTTGCGTTCTTTGATAATTTTACCGGTTTTGTACATCACTGATCTGTCGTTGGCCAAGCGAAGCGAGCGAGGGAGATGCACGGGATTTTATTAAATACAATACGTCATCTCCAATTCTAAAGAGATTCATATATTTTTCCTTGTAATTTAATTAATTAATCCTCTAAATCATAAAACAGTAAGTACCCCTTCATTACGTGTAAATGTGTAGACTCCCCCAGTGCGTGGTTTGGTACCAAAGTGTTATATAGAGATGCATAATATAACCTATCTACGTTTTGCATAAATCTGTGCAGTAGCCTTGTAATTGATGCAGTTAGCTTCAATAACGCGGTAATGCGATTACGAGAGTAGTGAAAACGTCATCAAAGTGAAGAGATATCGATATAGTGTAATTCACGTACGGCGTTGTTTAGTGTTTATCTCAATATTACAGGCCGAAATGCCGGCCGCACGAGGTGTAAAGCGTACGGCATCCAAGTCATCGTCCTCTGCAGCATCAGCGACGCCGAAAAACAAGAAAAAACGTAATGGTGAGTACTAAAATAAGTGTTTTATTGCACTTGTTTTCTTTACATTTTTGTTCGACGTCATTGACCTGTCAAACTGTGATGGCGGGAAACGCTTTATATACTTTTCCAACTACGCTTGTTTGGTGCTATTTACCCGTTACTGCTTTAAAGATTACTCATAACACCGTATTCAGGAATCTTTTGTTACCATTCATTATGTTCATAATTACGTATTTTGTTTAAAATAAGTAATTACAAATTTGAGGTTATATAGCTTATCAACATAATGCGACTATTTCACCGCCAATTTTAGGTGTAATTTCCATAAATAAATGAGTTGTGAGTTGTTGTTTCTAGAACTTTATGGAACGCATTTTTAAATTGTTGCTATTACATGTATTTTATACACAGTTAATCTCTAGTGGAAAATAACAGGATAATAATATAACCGGAACAAAATCATAGTACACTCAACAGTACTTTAAACTATACACTTTTGCTCAAATATAGCCTCCAGTGCAACGGAACAAGATCCATCGTCAATGTGTAGCTTGATGTGCTGTTGTCTGTACATAGATGTAAACTGGTTCCTTCACATTCTTTTCAAAGTTTATTATAGTAATTAAAAGTCAAAGTGTCAATTTTAAATAATAAACTACAATATACAAATTTTATTTCTTTCTTAAATTTCGTCATATAACGGTTAGTTCGTCTTTATTTATTTTTTATTTTTTTCTTACCTCGGATTAAAGTTGTTTGGTCATAATATTAGACAATAACCATAGTAAGTAATACAAAATGTAATAGTTATAGCATAGGACTGGAATAAAATTAAAGCAATAAGTTTAAGTGTTGCCAATTCTTCTACCATGATAATATATAGATTTACTTACATTCAGCTTTTATAAATCAAACTAAATAAATTATTTTAGGAAGAACATTATGTAATATTCTATGTATTATAATTATCACTAGGCTCTCACACTACCACAAATTACTTTTTAGTATTGTTGGGTCATGGAAAAATGTCCATTTTGAAAAAACCTTATTATCCAGTGGTTATCCTTTATTTTTCCACATTTAACATTGACACCTGTTAAAAGTTACTGAACGAAAATGATGGAGCCAACCAGTGGCGGTGTGGTGGTTGGAGGTTTTTTCGCTGACTGAAATCATTTTCAATCTCATTTTACTTTATGGGGCTTTTAGCTATCAAGTTTATTTTATAATTCACAGTAATAAAACAAAAGTAATAAAAAAAATAAAACTTCAAAAGACATTTCTAAACATAATATGAGCCTTCCAAATTATATTTTTCCAATTTTTCGCGAGTTTTTCCGGAAATGTTTCCACTATTTGAAATTTTTCGGAAAATTACCCAACAGTAACTTTTACTACTTCTTACTTTGACATTTGTCACTAGAGACTGCATAAAATACTTTACAATTTAGTATGTCAAATTCATGAGTGCCCACAGTGCACAATGAAGTAATATTTTATAGTTTGATTCAGTCCATTCTAGATTAACTTAACCACAGACAGTTTATTTATACATGTACTGCCAACTACAAATCAATCAATTAAATGATTTGATTTATTTTAATAAATCATTTGGAATAACTGCTCTTTTTGCAATTTCAAAATACTGTGGATATTCCGAGGATTTTCTCTATTCATTACCCTCCCATATATGTATAAATCAAGTGTTCCTTTTAAATGGTACAGTCTGAAACCTCAGAGTGCTAATCAACTCAGTTTCATGAAGTGATCGTTTCATTGTATGAGGCGTAAAAAATCGGGACAGCAGAAATTAATCAAATTTAAAAAAACTGACTATGTCAGAATTGTTTTCACAGAAATAGACTTAAGGGTTCCTAAGACAGTTTGCTTGTATCTTCTATGGTTTCAGATTTCCCTATACAGTTCCATGAAAAAAAACACTGTGTATGGCAATCAACTCTGAATGGAATTCCCTCCCCTCTGATATTATGCCCTGAACACTATAACTTGGTCTTATTAGACAAAAGAGGAAAGGCATTATTTAGGTGTTCATACTTCATCGTCATCCTTACCATCACTTTCCATTGGGTGAGATGGACGTCAAATGCAAATTTATTTATTTATTTATACATAAACATGATAAGTTTCTTGATATGAAAAGTGAAATACAAAGATCGAACAAACACAGAAAATTTTATTCGGTCCCAATGGTTTCGAACCAACTACTTATGCCAAACTGGTGCCATCGCTTTCCCAACAGAGCTACGGATGAGTTATTAAACCGGTTGCAGATTATTGTTTTTGGTTTAACGGTTTCTTCGCGATAGTGCGGACTTGAGAGAAGCCTATGAAATAACAAAATATAGAATGTAGGAAACATAGGTTAAATTCCAATAAAAGAAGTTTTCTAAATTCGACTCATCCGTAGAACAAAGACATATGTGCCAGGCTGCCTGTTCTCAGGACATTGTATATTTCGTTCATTGTAGATATTAGACCAACCATTTTATATTTCCCAAACGAAATAATACACAAAATTCTGAAAACACCCTATAACTGGGCCTTATTTTGAATAACGATATTATGTATTTATCCTCTTTTCGTTGTATAATCACATCGGACTCTGTTCGTCGGATGAGTTGAATTAGTTCCATTGAAGTGTCATGGGATTCTGAAATTTTTATAACTCTGTTACAGTAAAGGGAAATAGTTTTAAACCCAATAACAGGTTTTGAATGTCTGGCACATTAATATTGTTATCTGAGTTATGAGTTGTATCTGTAGTGTTTAGTATCTACACAAAGGTAACTATAGTAAATGACAGTGCTTTGTATGTTCTATAGTATTGGTACTTTATTTTTTACTATGTCATATGTAAGGATTTAAAACCAGTAAAAGTTCTTTGTTAAAAATTATGATTCATGCCATTGTCTTAATGTTTTAATGTTGCAGTTTGAAAAGGTGTTTGAGTGGCTGGCTTTATGATAGTTTGAAAGATGTTTGTGATTGGTGTAATGAACCTAAATTTCAAGTAATACATTATAGTTTGGATAACAGCTCACTCTAAAACATAGTTATCAACTTATTTAAGTGCCAGACTCTTGTCGGTGTAACCTTCTCTACTACTCACAGTTTATAGCCAGTTCCTCTTTACAGCTGTTCACTTTGATCTTCTTTTTTATTTGTTCACTTTACGCCTTTTTTAGTCTTCCTCTCTTTCTTTTCCCTTCAATCCTCCCCTCAATTATCACTCTCACAAATTCGTCATTATACAACAAATGTCCAAACATTTTCTCCCTTCTCTGTATTGCATTCAATATCTCTCCTTCCCAAAAATTCTCTCCCTCCCAACCCTTTCCAAAACTTCCTCATAAAACGTCACAATAATTAATTAATTAAATGTAAAAAAAATATAGTAAAATACTTATACATAGTCGCTTCCAAAACTTTTCCTTTGAATACAAGACATAATAAAGTAACATTGTTAACAGGATTCTGTCATTGATAATTATCACAATAATCATTATGTTATAATAAATTGGTATTAATAATTAACAACAAAATACTACCACTAGCAATGTCGTGTCATGTGTTTGCATCAGAGACATATCAAAAAGTTACAAACCAAATTGTTTTTCCAAAGATTCTGCACGGTTATTTCGTTTTGTCACTATTTATCATTTTTTGTCAAAAATTAAAGACAAAACTATGGATAATTTTATCTGATATTTATCATGATTGTTATCAAAGAAAATAAACATCTCGATTGATAATTTCGAACCCCGATTGTTAGTAAGACATCAAAATATGGAATATAACTTATTTGTAAAAGAAACCGACCTCAAAAGGTCGTGGAATTACATCTATTTGCCGACTTTTATCAGAAATCGATTACCGGAAAGTGCACGAAGCCGGATTCATCCCCTGGTTTGCCAAACTTAGAGGTGGAATATTTTCTTCAAATTTAAATGGGACCAATACTAAGGTACCCACTTTGCAACACAAAAAGAATCGTCAAAATCGGTTCACAAATGCCACCGGAGATCACGTAATATACATGCAAAAAAAGTCAGATTGAGAACCTTCTCCTTTTTTGAAGTTGGTTAAAAATGAAATACAATAATTACAATATTTCGGAGAGAAGTATTATCCACTCTATTTGTTAATTTCCTTAAAACTTATATAAAATGTGCTCTGTATTTCCCGATCGCTAATTATAACACATTTATTAGCTTTCTAAGATTCAAATGCGTAATTATCAATTATATTTGCTCCAAGCAGTAATCCAATTGGAAGTGCCGACCGCACCGAAGAAGCGGGGTCGTGTGCTCACCTGTGGACAGGGAGACGTGGGACAGCTCGGTCTGGGCGAAGACGTCATTGAGACTAACAAGTGGGTATTTTCTTTTAAGTATAAAGAATAAATCGAACAACACAAAGAAAAAATCCTTTGATTTGACTGTAACTTGGTAAAAGCACTGGCTTCGGTGTGGCAACAAACGCGGGTTCACTTCAGTCAAATCAGAGGAATTTTTGTTCGTGTTTTTCGATCTTTGTGTCAATAATAATAACAAAGTTGTATTTTCACAAAAAGTTGTTTATAAAAAAAAACAGACCTCAAAAATTTGTGGAATGACATGAAATCCAATAAACCGGGTTAATTCCTTAATTTCCACCTAGGCTCAATTTATATAGCGGCTGAACTTTGTGGTCAATTGTGTAACGTGCCAAAATCTTCCGATTTTGTCTCGTATTTAGTTTGTACATTACACAATTGACCATAAAGTTCTTTATGCTATGTACAATATCGTTACAAAAATTCGCTTCCGTTCCGTTTCTTCACAACATAAATTGAGCCTTAGAGGTGGAATATTTTCTCACTTTACAGAGGAACCATTCATCCATCCATTGCATCCGTGTAACTATTTTAGTATTGCTAAATTTGACGTAAGAACAATATTACTTTAATTTTAAGTCGCGTCGTAGTACGAACTGAGTGAATGAATAGTCACAAAGCTGCCAATAAAACACAGTTTTAACATTATAATAAACTTAATTCAGGCGCGTCATGGTACGAAAAATCAATGTAAGGTTAAAGTAATATTGTTTTAAGAGGTTGTGATAGGCCCCCTGATGCCAGATATGCTAATAAGCCATTATCGCCAAAATGTTGGTTGTTAGTTATGTTAAGACATCGAGTATATAACCAGAAACAGAGACGAAATGTCATTTAATTTGTTTGAAAACTATTCTGCCATATCGTTACTGTGACAACTGCGCTCCGATTGGCTAGCTCGAGCTCGAAACAATTGACTGGTGTCGTCAACTGTTTCACTTTAAATCGACCAATTAACTTGAGCATTGCTATAATGGACGAAAATTGCAAAATTACGTATTTAATTACCGATGAAATGTGATACCGTTAGTTTTGTAATTAGATGTTGCTGTTTTTCACACACCACTGAATAGAACAGCACAGCATTGTTAGTGATATTATCTTTATTACAATAAATACGTATAAATACAGAATATTTTTTGGAATATACGGAGACGTACACACAGGTCAGTAGTTAGCCTGTCTATATTTCAATACAAACGAAAGTTGATATTTATAAGAGCTGTATCGCTAATGTGTTACCAGAAATATATGGCCCTTATTTCGCCTCTATTTATGGTTATATACTCGATGTGATAAGGAGACCAGACATATCAACATTATAGGATAAAATTTGTATTCTTTACATATTTTACATAAATACATGCCGCTACAGTAATTCCAACCATTGTCCTTTCTGTACAGCACTCAAGTTTGATTATTATTAAAAATAAAATGCTAGATGTAAAAACTCGTATTTGATTTCAGGTTCAAGCAAGTGCCAGGGCTTGGAGACAAGATTGTGGACGTTTGTGCTGGCGGCATGCACACCGTTGCTCTTGACAGCGATGGAAAGGTGATCTTCGTTACTATACTAAAAGTATAGTTACTATACTATAAGTATAGGTCCCTGTGACAATTTACATAAAAATCAAAATATAACCTTGTAACAACCCCTGTGTACTAAGTCCTGCCCTGGACGAACTCCTTGTGAAAGAGTTCGTCAAGGAAAGCACTGCTGCCTAACCTATTTCTGCCGCCAAGCAGTAATTCAAGCCAAGTTTTGAAGGGTAAGGGTGCTGGTGAGATTACAGGCACATGGGACTTGTCAAGTTGTGTCAGGGTGACGAGCGCAGTGTCAGTTCCTCTAAGATCTTTGCGATTTAACGCTCTGTGTGGCACTGCAACTGTTGTGATCAGGCATGTGGCTTCCCAAAGACGCGCTTTTAAATGAATAGTTTTTGTTTAAGTAAATACATGAAATTATAGTAAAACATCACCACGTCATGTTTATTTGAGATTTTTTATCATTACGTTGCATTTGCTAGAGATGAGGTATATCGTTGAAAAGTTTTAACCACTTTTATTTATTATTTATTTATTTAGTGTTTATTAATTTATCCTATTTCAAAAGTTTTTCTCTGAACCTCAAGATATGGACATTCGGCTGCAACGACGAAGGTGCACTCGGGCGGACAACCTCTGGGGAAGCAGACGAGGGCACTCCCAAGAAGGTCACCCTGCCTCTGCCCGCTGTAGCCATTGCAGCTGGGGACTCTCATTCCGCTGCCTTGCTGAACAACGGAGATGTTTTCGCCTGGGGATCTTTTAGGGTAAGTTCTATACAGATAACACCATAGGCTACAAAATTAAAGATTTTTTTTTTTTTTTTTTTTTTTTTTTTCATTTTATTGTAATAGCTTACGACTAGTAAAGAAGTAAATTGTCTGCTTACTACCTGCCTATTTTCTCCAACATGGGCTTCAGAGCGAGAGTGAATAGGCCACTTCTAAACAAATTCTAAAATCGATCTTATTGTCATTTACCAAAAGGGTTTCAAATCGTAAAACGTTTTGTATCATGTATGTATTTGAATAATTATAATTTTTAAAAAAAGGTTAGATGACCTTGGTGACTTGAGCCTGGACTCAAACCAGCGGCTGTTGCCTCACAGTGGCTACCGCTCTTACCATCTAAGCTACAGACCGAGTCAGTGGATCTCACAAATTCCTCTATTTACTCGCAGACGCCTCCGTGGTCGGACGGTTAACGACTGCCACGCAGAGGTCCCAGGTTCGACTCCCGGGCCGAGAGAAATATTTTTATGTCCTACATTTATTTTTCTCGTGAGTTTGCGTCTAATTTGTGGTTGTCTATGCGTGTGTCCATGGCACACAATTTTTATTGTATTAAAAAAGGTAAGGTTCGGCAATGTGTCGTTGACATAGGCCCTTTTTTTTTGAAAATTCAGCAGGAAATGTGGTTACAACAAACAACTCAATTTTGGCCTCTTATTGATGATATGAATATCACTAACATGTGGTTTCAACAAGACGGTGCCACAAGTCACACAGCCACCGAAACAATTTATTTATTGCAAACCAAATTTCCCGATCACCACTGGATTATTTTTTTTTGGGGTTATGTTAAAGACAGAGTATAGACTGATATATAGATGTAGCCAACCGAATCACTAGCAGCCTTAAAACTCAAAATTCGTGAAGTAATTAACGAAATAGACCCACCATTTTGTCAAAAAGTGATTTAAAACTAAAAGAATCGACATCTGTGACTGTGGTCGTGGTGGACATTTATCAGATATCATTTTCCATTCATAATTGCCAAACCATACTTTTTTCAATGCAATAAAAATTTGAATCATTGTCATCTAAATTTATTGTTTTATTTTGATTTACAAAAAAAGTTCTTGTTGAAAAACCCTTTATTTATTAGACCTTAATATTGGGTTTAATCCGTCACTTGTCTTAGAGACACGATTTGTCTCTAACGTTCTTGTATTTTTATTTCATACATATTAATTTTAGTATTATGAAAAGGTTAGCGTTAAAAATCCTCGAATGCTTCCGTAGGGAAAAATACAGTGTTAATTATTTGACTGTTTCGGCAGGACTCGCACGGCAGCATGGGCTTGGTGGTCCGCGGCCGCGAGGGCAAGGCTTGCCGGGAGCCCGTCAAACTGGACATCGGAGAGCCGGCCGCCGGCATCGCCTCGGGAGGGGACCACCTCGTTGTGCTCTCGGTGAGTCATGACACGACACCTGTGGCCGTAGTATGGCAGAATATGTGTGATAAACGTCCCCGTGACAATATTTAATTCAGTTGATAAATTTTAATTTGCTTATTTGGTAATGAACTATTGTTATACGTTCTGAAGAACAAGGACAACTATATAAAATTGCGTATATAGCTATGTTTGTTGTCTAATCATCGCCGGGAAAACCATGTAGCAAAAAATGTCTTTTCACCTCGTTTGTCGCGCTCAATTTTTACGTTGATAAAATTACTGTGCAAAATTTTTTTAAGTCAGGGGGTCTACTCTTGATCTCCGTCCGACATCCGTCCGAAAGAATTACTGCCAAATGAGCAATACTTGACCAAATGAAAAGACGCGTGATGCGAATGAAGCTTCATACTTGATACTTGTCTTTTAATTTTGTCGAATATTACTTATTTGACAGTAATTATTTCGGACGGAGATCGAGAGTAGACCCCCAGCTGTGACCTTGCAGCCATGTTTGTCGCCGGCGCTTGCGTTGACATAAAAATGTGACGTCAGGGTGCTTGTAATGTTCGCTATTGTAAAATTTTTAAATGCCGGTTTATCACTCGAATTTGACAGCTAATTGTGGATATAATAGCTTTATCGAGGCGACATACTACGTTATAAAGTTTCAAATGATAATACCGTCGGTGTTTTGTAGAAAGATCGAAAGCGCCATTTCGAATAAAAATTCAGGCATGTTTTAGTTTTTCAGGAGTCTTTTAAAATATTTTTTTAAATATCATTTTTTATTTTAAAACTTAGTCGTAATTAAAACCAAAATTGAATTTTAAAACAGGATGTAAATGTTTTTTGAATTTTTTTTTTTAAATGGCGCTTACGCCCTTTCTACAAAACACGGAAAGTATAGTAATATGGACGTTACAAATATAGTCTCCCTTTTCTGTATAAAATCGAATTTCTTACATTTGCAAACTTGAAAGCGGACACAAATTTTCTTCAATGCAAATAATAAAAGTTAATAATGACATTTTTACAAAACAACCCCTAAGAGAAGGTGAATCAAAGTGTTTTATTTCTTTACCCGTGCTCTGATTTGCATCATACTTGGTTTCGACGCATACCACAGAATAATCAAAGTACCTACTTATAAAATTTAAATAATAAGTACCTACATTACATACTATTCGTAAATTAAATACATTTTATTTTCTAACAATATTTTTGGCTATCGTTGATGGGAAAACATTGTGATGAAACCTTGATATCGTGAACGATTTATTTATTTATACTTTTAGGACAATTCACAAACAAATAATACAATTATAGAATACTTAAATATGACTAATCCAATGCCATTTACAAATATCCACCAACATAAAGCAATATTATAGTGCTTAGCAAGCCAGAGACATATTTTAAGAGAAAACAAAGAACACAGTTACATAAAAAAAAAATAATAGACAATTATACAAACGAAACCAGTGTATTCCTTAGAGGATGGAAAAAAGTGTATTCATCGCCAATCACGCACGTGATGTGTCAAAGTGACGTTCGGTCATTTCTCGCCTGACTGTGTCTATGCTTGTACAAAACAAATCAAGTTCAGAGTGATTTACTGTCGCATTGTTAAAAAGTCTCAATCAATGCGCGCACCTTGTACGTATTTAATCTATAATTAGTGCTCGCCAGCTGCATTTGCAGAGGTGATCGACATCTGTAATGCAACAGGCTTGTGCGCAGGTTTATGTGTGACAACAATTCTGGACAATCAATATTACCGTTGACGATCCTCATCAGAAAACTCACGCACTAATGTCTCGACGTACTTTAAGCGGCAAAAAATGGTACCTACGCTCATCACCTGATGAAAATTGTTTGGTTTTGTAGTCCAGAAAACGTAAAAATCTCTGCTTAATTGCCTCCACCGAGACCTATAGGTTCCATAGCATGGATTCCAGACTTGTAAAGCGTATTCAGGGTGACTCCGTACATAAGAGCAGTAAATAATCTTAATTATATTGTTAAACGTCGCCGATGACTGAATAATTAATCCAAGTGGCTTGAATGCCCGCCTTAGTTACTACACAGTCAATATGCTTGTCAAAAAGTGGTTTGTCGTCATGGAGCACACCCAAGTCCTTCATTTCTCTGACCCTCAATATGTTGGTGCCATTGAAGTTTTGCGACTGATTATACGAAAACGTATGGCGTCACCAACCCACATTGGGCTAGGGTTGCAGTTGCAAGACTCGTGTTCACGGTGATGATGAAGAAGAAAACTTAAGTAATTAAAATGTTTCTCCGTTAGACATCCGGGTCTGTGTACACGATGGGCTGCGGAGAGCAAGGTCAGCTGGGGCGTCTTTCCCAGCGATCGGCCTCGAGGGACACTCGGCAGGGCTTCAGTGAGTACCATTTTTCTATAATTACAATAATTAATTATGTATAACATAGGGGTTCAAAACTTGTCATCGCCGACATTTATGAATGAAACACGTGTATAAAATGGACATGAAAATAAAAACAAAATATTATCTTCATCGAAATTACCAAGCACTTCAACTTGGATTCACCACCCTACAAAATAAAAGAAGCTTGTCAAACGTCCATTTCGCTACCGCAGGTGCGTTGCTGGTTCCATCGAAGGTGACCTTGAAGGGCGGCGCGTCTCGCGTGTGGGCTGGCTACCACGCCACCTTCATCCTCGACGGAGGGCAGGACAAGGTCATCGCGTGGGGACTCAACAACTATGGACAACTTGGTAAGTGTCCGTTGACAACATTTTATAGATTTTTTTAGCAGTAGTAGACCTCCTTGTGAAAGAATTCGTCCAGGGAAGTACTACCACCTTACTTATTTCTGCCGCCAAGCGGTAATGTCAGCATTACTGTGTTCCGGTTTTGAAGGATAAGGGTGTTGGTGAAATTACAGGCACATGGGACTTATCAACTTGTGTGTCAGGGTGACAGGCCGCAAAGGCAGAGCGCCTCATATTTTGGCGATTTAAACCTCTGAGTGGCACTGATACTGTCATGGATAGACGTGTAGCTAACCATCAAGCGCATGATCTAATACGACTGCTTGTAATTTCTCACACTGCACTCCCAATCCGCTGAATAGCAGAACCTGCACAAGCCTCAAAAATTACTAAGCGTAAAACTGTACTGGGAAAAGCCAAAAAGATCACCGCCAATAAGCTAAAAGAAGAAAGAACACTTTTTTTAACGGTGAAACTTGCATACCGGCATGGAGCAAGAACTGAACAGGACTGCTAATCTCGAATACTACAGATCGTAACTCCGAAAAAGGTCAAAATGCCGTCTTACATCTAGATGGCGCCTGGAAGTATAGTACATTATTGCAGAAGTAAGGGATTGCTGGACGAGTACGAGTTACAAGGTAAAGGAGCGCCAGCGAGGCCTTGTATTAATACGAGTCAAGCAATCCCCGTTCCCGCCGCGGCATCTATAGAATTTTTCTCAAACAATGCGAGGAAATAATAAAACAAAGAAAGGAAGATGTTCAAAAGAATAAGTAAAAAAATATATATTAAAAGTAATATTTGTTGTGTTAGAATAATTGTTAAAGTAAATGTTATTGTTTTTCTAGGCACATTAATAGTTAGCCTGCTGAACTTATGAGGATGTGTTTAAATTTATATGTATTACTGTATTTTCGTAATCGCTCTTCTCACTACCACTCATTTCGAGACCAAAATATAAAAAAAACTAAATAACAAAAGAATACCAAAACACTCTAGTTTAAATTTACCGCCATTTACTTTCTTTTTACATGTAGTTATTTTTAATTCTCGCAACTATGAACACTGGGCAGTTAGTTGGCTTTGTTTACATACTTCATTATTAATTAGGTAGATTTAAACGTTTATAAAAGTGGACAATAATGGATTTCCATACTTACTTTGCAGGCCTTGGTCGGGAAGAAGTCGCAAGGTCCATAAATGACAAACTTTCCGTGTTGGTTTTTTGAAAGTAATGCAAACATTTCCGAGCATGTTTGAGAAAATTAACTTTATGTAAATGGCCGTGGATTTCAATTAAGTCCTCTTTAGTATGAAATACAAGAAGTCAGTGTTTGTTCTTGTAAATATTCATTGACTTACAATTATATGGACGTCGGGTCCGCGCTAAAAAGTGTCCGCACTTGTAAGGCGCTAAAATCGTATACAGAACGCGACACTCCGCTTTAGTCTTCATTTGTTCTACTGACAGCGCGATACTGCGATGACATTACAATTTAAATTTCGAATAGGTTGACTTGGGACATTTTTTTTCGTGGTTTTTGTATTAGACCCGTCGTCCATTTATTTGTAAGTCAATGTAAATATTATTCAAATTATTTTCTGAACTTTGACAATAGGTATGCGTGTCAATAGATGGCATTATGTGTTCCAAATTTATGAATTAACGCTTCCTAATATGGGTAGATGGCGCTGATCCTAAACAAAATAAAATAATAGCCGGCACTCTATAAAAATCTGTGAAATAAGCGCCATCCAGTTGATTCGTTTGTTATCACTAGAAATAGTAACTTTGATAGTTTGTAACTTGTCATTGCAAAACAAATTCGTTACAAAAATAGCTATTTTGGTACTCGCGACATCCAGTATACCAATAGGTACTAAATATCCGACTACGCCGTCTTGTATCACTGCACCTGTTATGGACAGGCGTGTCGCTTACCAGACGCACGACTTGTTCATCCCGTTGCTTGGTATTAACAAGCAAAAACCATAATGCCTTTTCCCCTTGGTAAAAGTGTGATAAAACATGATCGCTTCAATCCGAATCATTCGACAAGTATAATAACTTTCCAAGACCCTGTTATGCCACGACGTAGACTGGACATAATTCCAATTTTCTATATTTTTTTTAGGTGTAACAGGAGAAAAACGCAAAACAGCGTTATTCTCGCCAACAGAATGCGATGCATTCACCGCTACCAACGTCGGGTGGAAGAGTGTGGCGTGTGGACAACATCATTCATTGGCTCTCGACACCAGTGGACAGGTTTATGCTATCGGCCGGTGCGAGTATGGACGGTAAGTATTGTAAAAAATCTACCAGCTGTTATAAATATCCATCGAGTATATTACCAGAAATAGGGACGAAATAAGGGCCTGGTAACTCATCACTTATAAATATCAACTCTCGTTTGCACTGAAATATGGACAGCGCCATCAACTGACCTGTGTGTACGTCTCCGTATATTCCAAAAATATTCTGTATTTATTGTAATAAAGATAATATCCCCAACAATCGCGTGCTGTTCCATTCGGTGGTATGGGGAAAACAGCAAAACATCTAATTACAAAACGAACAGAACCAAATTTCATCGATAATTAAATATGTAATTTTGCAATTTTCGTCCATTATAGCAAAGCTCAAGTTAACTGGTCGATTTGAAGTGACACAATCGACGACCCCCGTCGATTGTTTCGAACTCGGGCTGGCCAATCGGAGCGTTGTCACAGTAATGATATGGCAGAATAGTTTTCTCTCTCTATTTCTGGTTAAATACTCGATGTAAGATCACATTGATCCATAGAAATAATTAAATTGGAACTATTACAGGTTAGGCCTGGGTTCGCGCGAAGGCGACGCCGAAGCCCTAGAACCGATTCCTCTGCTGCAGAGCAAGAAGTGTATTAGCATTGCTGCAGGCACCAGCAGTTCGTTTGCAGTCACTGATACCGGTTGGTATTTGTACATATTTACTTGTTACAAGTTGTGAACCCGAAGGTAATGACAGGAATTCCTCTGGTTTGAGACAAAGACGTTATTTGTTTAGCCACACCTACAATGCTAACGGTTTTGACCGCCTCTCAAGCAGAGGCCGTGGCTTCGAATCCGGGCTTGCTCCTCTGAGTTTCTCGGAATTTATGTTTAATTTGAGATTTATCATGAGTTTTTCGGTGAAGGAAAACACAATCTTCGGAAAACGTGTGAGGTCAAACCCGCACTGGGCCACGGTGGCGGACTATGGCCTAAACCATAATTTCCCTATATGGTCCGTATCTCCAGCGGGCGCTGAAGAGCCCTAAGGCGGTAGGGGGGGAAGCAATTGCTCGGAAGCAATTGGGTTGATGTTGTCCAGGGGGTGCTACCGCATTTGAATTATCTATTAAACTACACTACAAATATACTCCCGGACACATAATTGGAGCCACGCATTTTTCTCGTAAGGGGCTAGAATACAAAAATAGTGTTATCATCGAAGAAAAAGTTTTCCCCGGTTTTGCAAATTCCCCTGATGGATTTATGGAAAACACGTTTATTATACTGGTTTCAAAATTGCATAATAGTTTTGATCAATCAAACATTGTTTAAGCTTAGGGCACTGTACTGTAATACTGAAAATGCGTAGTGTCTCAAATTATGTGTCCGGAAGTGTACATATTTTTTTCCTTGTGATTTTTGGTGTTAAGCAAGTTTTCCATTATTTTTTTGTGATGGCGGGCGTAGAATTTTTTTTTATCTTGTGTAAGTAGACGGTGAGCCAAAAAATTTGGAAACCCATGGCCTAAACCCTCGCCTGAGAGGAGACCCGTTCCCAGCAGTGACAGACAGACATTGTAAGATCACGCGGACATCACATTCGTTCTTTCCTCGAAACTGCAAGATGTGGAAGACTTCGTTGTGAAGTATTCCCTTTGTGCTATGACATGGGGTTCTGCAAAAAAGCGTGATAGGGCTGATCAAAGGCTAGCAACGCGTAGGCACTCATTTTGTGACTATGCGACCTCTAACCGTCATCCCACATTTTTATCACCCTTTTTTGTAGTTCCTGGCCACTTTTGAAATTTTGAATCGTGCTTTAATTTCTTTCCATCGTCATACTTACATTTCTTCATTGCGTCGTCACTCCTACCAAAATTCTCGAAGAGAAAGTATTAACTGCTTATAAAGCATCAATATTTGTGCGTAAATTCACCTTGTTACGTTTGATCTGTAAGGAGTGTTTTAACATTATTGTACCAGTTTTTATGTCATTGTTTGTTATTACAGCCTTTTCCTTGCTTTGCTCTTTTTACCTTCTTACGATAAATTGATGTGGACCGAGCCTTCTCTTTAATTCCGCCAAGCCAAGTCCGCGGGCGACGATGGCCTCCTGCCTTACATAACAACGAATAACATTCGTGGCGGTTCGCAGGCGAGGTGCTGGCGTGGGGCATGGGCAGCGAGGGCCAGCTGGGCACCGGCGCCAGCGAGGACGCGGCCGAGCCCCGCGGCGCCGTCTGCCAGGCGCTGGGGGACCTCCGGCCCTCCAACATCTCTGCGGGCGGACAGCACACGGTGCTCTTGGCGGTACGCTTCTTTCTTGCCACTGCAACAACTTTTATTATTAAAAAAATATGATACAATAAACATAATATAATGATTTGTTTACATTCTGCACAAAAAATTTAGTTCATAATTGAATATTATTGCGAGATTAGAGTTGAAACTAAGCAGAATAGCTTCTGTATTTGAAATTATCTCAGTTGTAAAGTAGAAAAACAACTCATTTTTCTGTACAGGAGGACCCATCATCCCAAAAGGAGGCCTCGCCTGTCCCAGAGAAGGAAACGGCAGAGAAGAAAGCCGACGAAGTCGAGGAAATGGAAGAAGAAGAGCCAGAGCCTGAGAAGGTATTTGATACAATATCGATTGAAGAATTGCATTGAAACTTGCTACAAGTGCAACAAAACTAGTCTCTAAATTTTATTTATTATTTAATCAAAATATTTTTGGTTAGCGTTTGAATGACTAATTAAAATTAGCAATAAAATCTTAGATAAAAAAATTAAATATTACACTATCTGTGTGTTGAATTGAATAATGTAAATAATTTAAAAATTAATTACAGCCAAAACCCAAAGGCCGTGCGACGAAGCGGCAAAAGAAACAAGAGCAGGACGAAGAGATATCTTCCACGTCCAGCGCTCAGCCAAGCGAGATCTCCGACGAGAGCAAACCACAGGTAAGGTTACCTCAAATATCGAATGTTGTTGAAGTTTTGACCAATCAGAGCTCGCGAAGTTACTTTGCGATGCACAGTCGTTTTAACTTTCGCTCTGATTGGTCCAGCACGTTGGTCGTCTGTAACAGCATTGATTTTCTGTCTTTCCGCCTCTATATATGTAACTTTTGACTGAATTGCCATTTAAACCACGATTACTTTGACAGATTGTGCAAGAAAATTGTATAAACAGACACGTCTGACAAATAATTATTGAATGCAGTTGCTGAGCTGGAAGCATAGAATATCATTGACACAGGGTTGTATTTCGCCTTAGGCTTAATTTATATTGCTGCGGGACGGAATTTGAGCGATTTTTTTCTTAACATTCATAATGATGTCAATTGTAACGTATAAACTGGATACTAGCCATTAAACAGAACTCGGGAAGTTCCGGAGCTACCGCATCGTATCTAGTTTACAAGTTACATATAATTATTGTACTGTTGGGGATAAAAACATACCTCAAAAGTTCGTGGAATTACATCTATTTGACAAGTTTCATTGAAATCCGTTACCGTTAAAAATTAGAATAATATAATTGGAAAAAAAAATGTTCTACGTTTAGACAAATCTTTGAAGTTTTATATGGCGTGAATTATAAAATAAAATTGTATGGCTAAAAGCAAGTTAGAGTAAATCGAGATTGAAAATGATTGGACATCGAAAAACATACACATACGTAAAGTAAAAAGAAATATTTATAATGGTGCTTCGTTCAGTATCTAACTTTTGACAGATGTCAACTTTCAAATGTGGGAAATTATCATTGACTTACAATTATATGGACGTCGGGTCCGCGCTAAAAAGTGTCCGAACTTATAGGGCGTTAAAATCGTATACAGAGCGTCATTCACGCTTTAGTCTTCGTTTGTTCGACTGACAGCGAAGCAAGCAAAATTAGACAGTCTGCGATGACATTACAATTTAAATTCAACGTTTTAGCTTTTTCATATTCCTTTACATGTCACTACGTTTAAATAGGTTGACTTGGGATATTTTTTTCATGGTTTTTGTATTAGACCCGTCGTCCATTTATTTGTAAGTCAATGGAAATTATCTTATTTTTTTCCATCCTCTTAAGGAAATTATACTGTAAAATATGAATTTTTCGAAATTGAAATTTTTTCATGACCCAATGGTACATAATTGACATGAAGCTTCCATTCCGCTGCACTGTAAATTGAACCCTACGCGTTAATCTGCTGTTGAAATACGACCGGACCTTTATATTACCGCCTCGACGGGCATATCCATTCTTTGTTTTATTTTATTTTTTATTTCTGCGACTAAAACACAGGGTAAAAAGAAAAAGTTGGAGCAACGTAACTCCAGCGTCGCGTCCACGTCACGCAGCGCCAAAAGCATCGGCAAAAAGGCACGCCACCACTAGGTTCAGTCAGACGATGTCTTTACTGGGAAATGAGGACTTATTAATGTCGTTCGATAGTTGACGCCCCATTAACTACCAAAGCGGAGAGAAGATGAGCTTTCGTTATTTTAACATCTCCACGCTACTTATTTAAAAATATACCATTAGTAGCTTCTTGTCGTGTCGATATTTCTTTATTTCAAAATTATATAAACTTTAAGAGACGATACAATCTCAAAGGGCTTTGGTTGATTTCGGATAACAGTAAAAATGTTGAAACAATCACTTCGGAAAAAATATATCCTAGTAAACTTGAGGATATACGGCGTGAAAACACGGTTTTTACGATAGAAAAAAAACGCAAACTTACCTCGAAATTTAAAAGAAAACCGCTGTATTCAATACTTTACGTACACTAATAACTTTTTATTATATCAACTGAACTAAATAGAATTTGTATAGTATACGATATACATTTTTCAAATAGCTTTAATTTCGTTTGCAAAATAATTAATTCTGAAATAAAGCCAGTGTCCTTACCGCTCGACCCGCACAACCAAACCGTATTTAATAAAAATTTTAGATCGAGCTAAGGTAGTATAGTAGATTTTTGTTGAATTAAAACTTGTAAAACTGTTGCTTAAATATATTGTCGTCGGTGTTACAAAACACCGAGGCCACGACCGAAGGCGGTAGCTCCATTTCGAAAAATTTTCCAGGCGAGCATGTTTTAAGTTTTGACGACTGTTTGGAAATATTTACGTCCCGTTTTAATAAAATTCAGTTTTGATTTTAATTAAGTTTAAAATTGACCTTAAAACAGGTTTTAAATATTTCGACTCATCCGAAGAACAATCCGATGTGATTATATAGCGAAAAGAGAATAAGTAAGTTACGAGAATAATTTCGTTATTCAAACTAAGGCCTATGTAAAGGTGTTTTGACAATTTATATATCTTATTTCATTTCGAAAATATAAAATCGAACAGTCGATCTGACATTCACAGCGAAGAAAATCGTACGAAATGTAGTATGTCCTAGAACAAGCAGTCTTGCACATAGATCATTGTTCTACGGGTGAGCCGATTTATATGTACGCGCAAACCGTGAACGCTTCACTGTACACGCCGTCGTTCCGAATTTGCGGCGTAAGGCGACGATATGTTATCTTCCCTTCAGGTTTGGATATTAGAGCACACCAGCAAATGTAATATCGTTTGGTCATTTCTGATATAGCTCTTCGCTCCACTTTTGTAGTTAATGGATCTTACGTAGGCACTGAGCAATTATCTTTATTTCAATGATCGGGGTGATAAATTAACTATGCATGTATACATACTGCCGCGTCTGTCTCCCACTGCGGGCCGAGACTCGTACATACCTCACTCATATCAAACTTCATACACGCCCTTTCATTTGCAATATTTTTGACCAAATTTTGTCTTAATATTATTATTACTTTCTCTGGTTATTTCAACCCACGTCGACCTTTCCAAATAATATACTTACTAATAATAATTACTTATTCATATCATACTTTTATACCATAGTTTCCCAAAATGGTCCTTACCACCCCCAGTGGGCGCTGAGAAGTCCTAGGGGGCGGTAGCAATTGGGAGTGTTGATGCTGTCCAGTAGGTGCTACCGCTTTTGAAAAAAAAACCTGAATTATCTACATGAACTACACTACATATTGTGTATGTGTGTGTGTGTATGTATGTATATATATATATATTGCTTGGATTTATTTGTATAAACTAAATATAAATAATACGTGTTTTCAATTATTTTGTTGTGGTGGATGTTGAAATTGTTTTATCTTGCCTAAGTGGTCGATGAACCAAGAAGTTTGGGAACCTATGTTTTATACATTGATAATAGTGTTGTCCCTAGTCATAAAGATAGTATCTGAACGTGTTATGTTTAAATTGTGTGTTATGACGTTTTATAACCGCATTTTAATATAGACGTTAACTCCATAGTAAAACAAGAAAAGTATGGTAACTCTGTACAAAGCGGCTTGTATGTGTGCGCGTCTGTCGTGCTCCATGTACGGACGAACACATTTGCATAATCGCCTTTCATTATTATGCGAATGGGTGCGTTCGTATAAGCCACGCTGCTGAATTTGTATGGAGTCTCATTGTACTATATTAACACACTACTGAAGACGTGACAGTATGGCATTTATCTCTTAGTCTATGCTTTTTTAACGAAAAATACCATAAAGTCTTAAAGTCCAGACGGTGCCATTCGTTCGATGAAAAATTTCTACCCCGATTAATGAAAGAAAGAAAAAATTATAACTAAAGCTATCTTCCTTTAAAACATTAATGGACGTAGCTTAACACATTTTAAATTCTTTTAGTATCAATACAGCTCCTTGTAAAAAAATTTGTCCAGAGTACTACCTTGCCTATTTCTGCCGTCAAGCAGTAATGTGAGCATTACTGCGTTCTGGTTTGGAAGGGTAAGGGTGCTGGTGAAAGTACAGGCACGTGGGACTTGTTGACTTATGTCTCAGGGTGTCGGGCGCAGTAGCAGTGTCCCTAAGACCTTTGTGATTTAAAGCACTGAGTAGCACTGCGATTGTTATGGACAGGAGTGTCGCTTATCACCAGGCGTACGACTTGTTTGTCCCGTCACATGGAATTTAAAAAAAAAAACAAATTATGTCCATTTGTAATAAAGGGGATAGCAAGTGCATAATAACAATGTTAATAAAATCAATAACTTTTTATAAAAAAAACCGACTTTAAAATCTCTTTGCCAAGCTTTATTGAAATCGATTACCGGAAAGCACGCTAAACCTGATTCATCCATTAATTTGCCATCCTTAGAAGTGGAATATTATCTTTAAATTTAAATGGGACCAATCCGGATGTACCCTCTTTCGAACAAAAAAAAGAATCGTCAAAATCGGTTCACAGACGGAGTAATTGCTTAACATACACTAAAAAAAATACAGTCGAATTGAAAAACCTCCTTTTTTAAGTCGGTTAAAAAGTTATTGAATATAAAAAAATTTAAAAGGAAACTATCATTCGACAAATATCTATAGAGAC